CCACCCGGGACAACCTTCCCCAGGAACTCTCACTCTCCTTGGACTCTGTGTGCACATGCATGGTAACAATGACCCTGAAGTAAAGAAACAATTAAGCCTTCTCTGAAGACCAGGGAAGGTGAGGCATTGAGGCAGGTGAGGCAGGATTTGGAATAGTTAAGGGATGTCTGCAGTCTTCCCTGGTCAGTGAAGGCCAGCAACCACCATGGCCACAGGTTCCTGAACAGTGGGGACCATCTCTCTGAAGGCGAAGGCCTGCTGGAGTGAAGGTAAAGCCTGTCTCCTCAACTTTCTCAACCATGTGTAGGCTGAGGAAGGTACCTGGCCTCTGGGCTACAAGTGTGATGGGCTGAGACTTATTTCTTCTGGTCTCTGCCAGGAATAAGCTTCCCCCAGGTCTTGCATGGACAGCTTCCTTTCGTAATTCTTGTCTTTGCTAAACCAGCTCTCTCCTCCCTACCCCAGTATTTTCTATCCCTTATCCTAGCTTATTTTCTTCAAAGCACTTGTCAGCATCTTATGTTGTACTACTTACTCATTTGCCTACATGAGCTCTCATGAATGTAGGTGCATTAGGGCAGTAATGTGGTCTGAATCGTACACTGCTGTCTCCCCAGTGCCTGGCGCATAACAGATGCTCAATATTTACTTGTTGAGTAGACTAACAGCATGCTTAGGTGCTGTGCTGAGTGATTTGCATACATTGTTTCCTGTAAAGTTTAAAGATCTTTTATGGTAAACACTATCTCATCCCCATGTTTTACAAGAACTAAGACTTGGTGAAGTTAAATACCTGCTTGGAGAAAAATGGTGATAGGGTCTTTCAAGCTAGGCTGTGTTGGAGTTCATTCCCCCCAAGGTACCTCAAATCAAACACTCTCTCCAGGGAGAGGGGGAATGTCCTTTCAAGCCCCACCCTTCCAGATGAGAAGCACGTATGACCTCAAACTACAAGGTCATATGTCTATTTATTAAATGGTGCAGTAAGGATGTGATTGACTTCAGTGTCTGCAATCTTATATAAAAAACAAACCCAGATACAAATCACCATCCTGCAGGGAGGCAAGTTCTAAACGCCAAAAAGTGGTGTGACCGCGTGCAGCACTGTGGGATTTAGAAAGAGGACAACCATTTCTAGTTGGAAGTGGGAATGGGCCCAAGGAGAGGACTGCGGTGGCTGAGCCTGAAGGATGGGCAGTATGCAAGTCTGTGAAAGCGGAGCAGAGAGAGGGGATGTGAGCCAGACCCAGAGGCATGTCCAGTTCTCCAGTGATTTTTGTAACTGTGGCATGAAAAACCCAGGCAAGGGGTGGAGGGAAATGACTGGCCCTGGACAGGAAGCTGGGGACCAGTGTGGGAGGGAGGTGAACACCAGAATGAGGGTTTTAGACTTGGTCTTAGGCAATAGGAAGTCCTTGAGTGACAAGGATGATAGGTAAGACAGCAGGAATCACCCCCACCAAAGGCCACCGATGCTTCACATGAGCAGGAAATCTCCAGTGAGAGGGCTGGAGAGAAAGCAGCACTGCCAGGACCTGCTGGAGGGAGTCCCAGAAAGGAAGGGGTGCTGGGGGAAGTCAGGGGCTATTTCTTGGACATCTGTGTCCCTATTCCAAATCACTTCCCTCAGAGCACTTGGCAGCTTCAGGCAGGATCCAGAGAGTTTCCTGGGCTGATTTGTTCAAAAATATGTTTTGGGATTCAGCCTGGCCTCAACCACACTTCCAGCCTCAGCTGCACAGTGCACCACCCACAGCACACCATAGCTCGCCCGCCTCTGCCTCCCACCCTGTCCACTGGGCAATTGCCTGCCCCCGCCCTACACTCCTGCACAGGCAGCCTCCCTCACCCCGCCCACACCCCTCTGAGCTCAGAGCCAGCTGCACAGACCCATGTTGGACCCCTGTAAGCGCCTGGCACCAGTTCCCTGCTGGCTCCCCATTGGTCCTGGAGCTCATCATACCCCCGTGACAACGTGGCCTGTGTCCAGCTCAGCATCTGGTGCCAAGGGGGTCATTGGAATGAATTAAATTCTTCTCTCCAGGATGCCCTTTCAAGTTGCTTTTCTCTCTGTAACCAGGGGCAGTGACTGGAATGGTTGGAATGTGGCTTTGGTTTTCCCTTTCATGTTTTATTCCATCTCAGCGTTAGTCAGGAGTCCTTGTCATTTGTGGTCCTAGAGGTCCTCTCAGGAGTGTGTCGCTTCCAGGGGGGCTGAGCTGCCTCCCGTATCTTTCCTCTCCATCCTGACCTGGTCTCCTCTCGCTTCCTCACCGCACCATTGCAGGATGGTCAGGCACCGTGAGCCGAACCTCTGCTCACTCTCCCTATAGCCACTGAGCCAAATATGAGAGAAAGGGCAGCTCTTTTTTCTCTGGGGGAGAAAAAACATGAAGAAAGATTTTCACCACAAAGCAACTTTCTGCTTAAGGAAGCTGAAATCGCACTCGATGTCAGCCAGGTTTCCTTGACCTCCTGCCTCCCAGGCCCCTTTGCTAAGATGAAGGCTTTGAATCATTCAACCCATTAGTGAGAAGAGGAGGGAGTCGGGACAAAGGGGTCTTTACTGAGTAACCTTTTCAAATGATGAGTTTTGTTTTTGTTTTGTTTTAATGCATCCTCAAACTGTTAGATTTAAAACCCCATTACTCAGTCACAATGCTCATTTTCAAAATGCCATGGCAGTTTCTCCACTGGTTATGAGTGAGCTGGTGGCACTGTTAGCTAAAGCTGATGGCCTTTAGGCCCTAACAAGGGGTTCGGTCCTGGGCTGAGGAATCCTACTCAACTCTCATGTGTCCTTGTCCCTGGGCCCTAGGTCCGACCTCTACTTAGTCACAAGCTGACTTGGGTCCCCCAAAGAGTGATCATTAGGGTCCCTTGTCTCAGGATCTTAGCCAGGGCCCCATTTGGAAGCCTCAAAGACATGGGCAAGACTCACCTGGACACATTTGCCTTGGAGGGTAGTTCAGAGGGACCCACTCGCTCTCCATAGAGATTCTTCTTATAACCCACCAACACAGGAAACGCCTTCCTACAGAGCAGAGCCCAGACAAGGCATTCTGTCTTGGAAGGCCGTTTTTCCAACCTGCCTTTCCAGCCTCCACATCCTGGGACTCACCTCATGGATGTGCTCTGGCCACACAGAACAAGCAGAATGTCCCAATGCTCTCAGCCCTTTCCACCTCCAGGCCTTCCCACTGTACTCATTATCTATTAACATAACAATGTTACCACACATTTAGAGAGGCTTAACACAATATACATTTATTATGGCATCATTTCTGTGGTCTCACCTCAAGGTTCAGCCAGAGAGGGATCTGCTTCCCAGCTAACACGGTTGTTGGCAGGATTCAGGCTCTTGCATGTGGTCAGACCAAGGACCTGCTTCTTGTTGACTGTCAGCCAAAGGCTGCCCTCATTCCTAGCCAGTTGTTGGCCACAGCCTGCCCCTGGTTCCCTGCCACATGTCTTTCCCAACATGACTGCTGTTTCTTTCTAGCAAGGGAGAGGGCCTACTATTAAGATGGGTATTAGAATCTTATGTCATGTAATCATGCATAGACATCAGTTACCTGCATATTTCATTGGTTAGAAGTAAGTCACAAGTCCTACCCACACTCAAGGGGAGGGGATGACACAAGGGCGTGAACACCAGGAGGAGGAGATCATGGGGCCACTTTAGCATCTGTCTGCCAATCATGCCCTTCTCTCAATCTCTCTGTCTACTCTATGAGTCTGAGCCTAAATAGGATTTCATAAAAGCTGCCTTTATCCATCTCAGTCAGAATTCTCTATCTTTTCTGAGCTCCTACAGGGCTTTGTTTAAAATATTATTTGGCATTTCAGTCATTCATTCAGCCTTTTAACAAATAGATTTTAAGTATTTAGTATATGCCCAGTGCTAGTGGTGGTGCAGCCTAATGGTTAAGGCTGCAAGTAGTTGGAGTAGTTAAGGACAACTGTAGTATCTTGGCTATTTTGGAGTCCTAAACAGAGAAGAGAGATGATCAAACACATTTCCGCCCATGTCAGCCTCGGAGCTGTCAGCCTGTCTTGGGTTCGTGAAGAACCTGGTTCATAGCAGAATCCCTGAGGGTGGGTCCTCTGCATTTACAAAACTCATGCTTTGCTTCCCAATCTCCTCTTTCTATTTGTTTTCCTCTTTTTTTTTTTTTTTTTTTTAATGTTCTTTCTTAAGCTAAACTGGGGCTTGTTCATCTGTGTCTCTCATCCATTGGTTCAAAGTCTACCTTCTGGGTCCCTAGAAACCAGTACAACTGCCTCATCCCCACAGTAGACCTTTGTCATAGGACTGGTCCCAGACTTTCCACTTCTCCCAGCTGAATGCCTGACTTCTTCTGGTTCCCACAGGACTTTGCTTCATTGTTATGGTCAGTAACCTTGGGACATGACCAAAGTATTATTGATTTTTAGAGAAAGAGGAAGGGAGAAGGAGATAGAGAAACATCAATGTGAGAGAGAAACATCAATCAGCTGTCTCCTGCACACCCCCTATTGGGGATCAAAGCCACAACCCAGGCATATGCCCTGACCAGGAATTGAACCTGCAACCTTTTAGTGTAGGGGTGTCGAACTCAATCAGAGAAGGGGCCAAAATCTAAAATCGAGCCTAAATCGCGGGCCGAATGGTTTACTGAACAGTCATAAACTGTCATTGTGATGGAAACGCAGCGGAGTGCAGTGATAACAGCGCGGTGCGGGCCACATTGCAAGGCCTGGCGGGACGGATTTGGCCCGCGGGCCTTGTGTTTGACACACGTGTTTTAGTGCATGGGGCAGTGCCCAACCAACTGAGCCACACCGGCCAGGGCTATGTTAACATTTCTTAAAGGTGGTTGCCCAGAACTGAGCATAACCCTCCAGGGTGGCCTTCGCAGTGAGAATGGAAACTATCTAGACCACAGCTAACTACGTTATTTATTCTTTCTTCATCATCATAACTTTACCATTCTAGAAAACTCTTTTGAAACAGGATGAAAGTTGCAAATTTTATTGTTTATTCAGACTTCCTGGTATATCAACTCTTTAATAGAAAACATCAAATGACAGTATACACACCAATATTCTTTAACCCTTTGTCTTAAAATTCTTACCTTGCTATGCCCATTAATACCAAAGTATTGTCATGGACCTTACCCAGTCCTAACCAAGCACTGCCTCTCCATCCCCCTTGTTGGAAGACTCATTTTAAACTATTCTTCAAAACCCCAGTAAGTATCTTGACTTTGTCAGACTCCCTCCTGGACACTGCTAAGACTCAATTGAAATAGCACTTTCCCATACTGCAGTAAGAAAAACCTTAGTTTTTTCTTATCAACAGGTTGCTTTAGTAATATCTTAGGGAGCCAGCATTCAGCATCAGCAAACAGTAGAAAAAGAAGGACCTTCATCTCTAGCTTACAGGGAAGGTATCAGCTTCCAGCCCTCTGACCTCCCAAGTCCCCTCACTCATGGACTTTAAGGAAGACCCTTCTCTGAAAATTTTCAAAGAGCTCCAGGAGCCATCTCTTTCCACACTCTCTCATCTTTTTGCAACTTGGATTTTTCTCCCTGGAGATTGAGAAAGAAGAAGCCATTAAATTGCCTGACCTGCTCCACCAGTCACCCATTTCCCACTTCCCTGCCTTTATTTCACTCAATCACTTTGTCTCTCTCCCAGCATATGGATAAAGAAGCAAAGAAATATCGGTTGTCAGGGAGACAGTGCTCTTTAGTCCCAGCTGCCTCCTTTGCCCTGTTCATATTCTCTCATCATTTTCTCACTCAATTTTGGGCTTTAACAAGCCCACCTTCAGAATGGTCACTCTCGTTTTCTTTTAGCATGCCCCTAACTGCCCTTTGTTTTTTCTGGGGGAAATTTCAGGCTACACTTTCTGTAGCAGCCCATGAATCCACTGGATTCGCTGTGGAATAGTTGGTTTTATAAATGTATATGTCTGGGGATGTATTCCGAAGGCCTTCTGTGACCTTGAGTTGCGTGACCTTGGACAACTGTCTCCCCCTTTTGCTCATCTAGTTTCTGCCTCTTTTTGAGAAAGGGGCTGGACTGGATGATTGCCTACAGTTTTTTTGATTCAATGTCTAAAGGAAAAGCCTTTGGAAGACATTTTTTTCTGTTTCTAATTATAAAAACAAAACATACTTGTAAAACATAGAACAAGACAAAAATATGCAAAACCTAAAATGCAGGGTTTTTTTTTTATCAATTGCCTTGGAGAGAGTATTCTGGGGCAGTATTTGCCAAGCACACTCAATGAATGCCTTTTGATGATATTGACCCTAATGACCCCTGATTCACTGGGATAACTAAAAGCTATTCTAAAGGAAGAACTGTGTGTGTTCTTACAGTTTCTCTTTTCTCTAGAGGAAACTTGCAGAATCTTTTGTGCTGCTTAACAGTCATAGAGCTCTGCAGCCTGTGCCCTCACCTATGTGTTTGTCAGGAAATAAAACACAGACTCCTGGCCATAGCCCAAGACTCAGATCTACAGAAGAGTTGGGGACCGGGGGGCTCACTGTTCCACAGGGTCATGGCCAACATTCAGATCCAAAGACTAGCACCCAGGATAATAAGATTGATCCAGCACTTTAATCTTTCACAAACATGAAAATTGCCTTCTTAAGTGTGTCTTTGAATGAACTGGAGTTGGACCTATAGCAGGCAATACAGATTGCTGGAGGACAACATAGAAATGCATTTTTGCTATCCAAAGCCCACTAGGGAGAGAAGTTTCAAAAGTATGAACTACTGAAGTTCCTGACCACATTTTTTTTTGTAATATATTTTTATTGATTTTTTACAGAGAGGAAGATAGAGGGATAGAGAGTTAGAAACATCAATGAGAGAGAGACATTGATCAGCTGCCTCCTGCACACCCATCACTGGGGATGTGCCCGCAACCAAGGTACATGCCCTTGACCGTAATCGAACCTGGGACCTTTCAGTCTGCAGGCCGATGCTCTATCCACTGAGCCAAACCGGTTTTGGCTTTGGCCACATTCTTAATGGCTGAACTTACACCCCACACCTGCTTCAAGGAAGGTCAGATTTTAGGGAGGAGGAGTAAGTAGAACCCAGTGTAACCCCAGGAGGGAGTTATGGACAAATCCATGCAGATGTGGGTGTGAGTTGTGACTCAGTGGTGAGGAAGCAGCAAGGGCTGGGAAAGAAGTGCAAGGGAGGGGGACACCCTGGGGTGTTCATGAGGCAGAGATGGAACTGTGAAGGTTAATTCATTCTCAATGTTTTCTTCTCAACAATGATTTGAGATAACCAAAATTAGGAATTAAAATTTGGAAGGGAAGATTTAGGGGCTCTTCCTTCAAGGGAAAGTAGAGTAAAGTCAATGGGATGCCAGGGTTCCAGGAGAGATAGGGAGTAAGACAGTACAAAGAATTTAACCAACCCATGGAGAAGTACATTCTTTCAGAGATCTTACCTGGCAATGGGTGTTGTTTGTGCTCAGTTTTCTCACCAGTCAAATGGAGACAGTCATCTCCCAGGACTGTGTTGAGAAATAAATCAAAGGAAGTATGGTATAGCCCCAAGCACTGCCCTGAAGTGCAGCAGGTACTTGATAAATGATGGCTTCCATCCTTCACCCTTGGCCTCAACCAGCCCTGTGGAATGGAAGATATTATGGGCTGCCCCTATTGTATTTACCAGGAGGATCAAGAGAGACAAAGATGTTGAAGTTCTTGATGACCTGCACAGTCTTATGCAAACAGAGGTATAATTACCATCAAGATGACGTGATTCATGATAATCATTATAATGAAACGTGACCTGGAGGTCAGTAGGCTTGTAAACAGCAGGGATAGCTTGGAGTCCCTCTAGCAACTGTTGTCTCTATGCAACAGCTGTGGGTGGGAATGGCGTGGCTGGTAGAAAGAGCTTGGTATGTGGTCAGAGGACTTGAAATGGAATCTTGACTCCACCGATACTACCTCTGTGACCACATGAAACTACTTAACCTCTCTGGGGCTTATCTCCTCATATGAACAATATGGGTAATGCCCTCTAGCTCACAGGATTGTCACTAGCAAGTGAGCTAACAGGTAGAGCTCCTGTCAGCTACAGGTAAAGGAGTAACCTGGTCTCACAGTCTCTCAGTCTCCTCATCTGTGAAATGTGGATGTTAATAGTACCTAATTCCTAAGGTTTTAATTAAATCATATAATGTGAGGAAAGACCACAGACCAATGCTTGACCAAATCAATGTTAATTATTTCCAAGTAGGCCTCCCCTGACTCTTTCCTGTGGTACTTACCATTTAGTACAGAAGGGCTCTGGTTTCCAGAAAGAGTTTTGTGCCATCTCACAGTTCCTGTAGAGGGCAGCCTGAAAGACATTTGGGAGAGAGACATGGCTGGATTCAGACTTGTTTAATCTTGGCAGAGCTTCTGATGCTTTTCGCCTCTGAGGCCTATCCTCCTTCTGTATGCAGTAGGAATAGATAGATTCTATACTAATCAAGGTTCTCTAGAGAAACAACACCAACAGGAGAGATGATAGATAGATGATAGATAGATAGATAGATATGAGAGGGCAGGGCAGGGTGAGGATAAACTCCTGACTCCACTGTGGGGCAGAGCGAAGTTATCCTCCATTTTGTGTAACTGGACCCTAGCCCTCACCCAACCAATCAGGGTCAGCCAAAGCTGTGACATCACCACCGGAGTAAAACCCCAGGGCTTGGTGAAATTCGCTCTCTCTTCTGCCATGCTGTCGGTGTGAGTGGGACAGAGCCCATGCTAGCATGGAAGAGGCTCTTTTGTTTATTGCATCCAACTCGGCTCCCTGGTGGTTCTTGGGGATCACGAAGTCTGGGTGTAACAGACAGATTTATTTTAATAAACTGGTTTATGTAATCATGGAGGCTTGATAAGTACAAAGTCTGCAGGGTAGGCTTGAGACCCAGGAAAAAAGTGCAGGTTAAGTCAAAAGACAGTCTGCTGGTAGAATTTTTTTCTTGCACAGGAAGGATCAGTCTTTGGTCTATTTGGACCCTCAACTGATTAGATGAAGCCCAATTACATTACAGAGGGCAATCTGCTTTAATCAAAGGCCATTTATTAAAATGTTAATCTCACCTAAAAACATTCTCATAGAAACATCCAGAGCAATGTTTAACCAAATATCTGAGCACTATGGCCCAGCCAAGTTGACAAATACATAAAATTAGCCATCAAGATCCCAACTTCCTCTTTTTTTTTCTATGTTCTGAATTCAAACTAAGGTTTTGGAGGAATATAGGAACATTCTTTAGTTTCCATGGGTCTAGAACAGACCCTAGGGCCCAGTAAGCTCACTTACTTTTCTTGAGATGACTTAGTACCAGCCTACAGATCAATGACTCAGACTAGAGATAAAACAGCAAGTTGCTCCAGGTCAAATGGCAGAGCCAGGCCACAGCCTGGGGCTCCCAAAAAATTCCATGTTCTCAGAATGGATCTTGACTCCACTCTCCTATCCCCAAATGCTGAGGAGAGGAACCCTTTGAGGTATACAGAGGCCTCTGGCTGCTCACGGTCTTGCTTTAAAAGAGCAGCTGTTTTTAAACAGTCCTTCCAGCCTTTTATTTCCAGTACATTCTCATTCTCCCCCGACTCTCCACCCCCAACGTATAGCTTTCTGCTTAGCCAGGCTGGACTGAACAGATCAATGACACTAATTTGCACTGAGGAAAAGTTAGTGATTTCCTCCCTTCAGATATAACGAGCTTCAGGCTTGTGGTCAAATTAGGATCTTAGCATTTTTATCTCCTCTGTAGAAGGTTTCTCAGAAGAATCACAGAATCCAGGGGCTTCAAGAAGAGTTTCGTTTATCCAATTCCTTCACTTTACAGATGAAGGCACAAAGGACACAGAGTAGGGAAATAATGTTCCCTAGATACCAGGAGACTCAAGTAATCTTTTGAGGAGGAGCCTGGAGATTGGCTGAGGCAGAGCAGAGGTGGTGAGGGAGACTTCGTCAGAAGTCACTCTCAGGGTCTGGGCTACATGTGATGAAGACCTAGACTCAGCAGTTGCAGGATGATTGGGAAGGATGAGGACAAAACATTGCATCCAAACACAATTCTGAGAGAACTTAGAGAGGATCTAGCGATATGAGTTGGGGAAGAATGGAGTTCAGGGTACTGTTGTGGTTGCTGGATGGGTGGAGATTAATCAGGATTAGGAATGGGGAAGAGGTGGGAATTTTAGAGGGGTGACCAATGAGATTTGTACAGGTCCGGAGGTATTTGTGGAATGTCCAGAGGAGACTGCTTGGTAGGCAGTGGGATGTGCGGGCCTGAAGCTCAGAACACAGCATTGATTGTGAGATGTGGAATACCACCATGTTCTGAAAGCTGAACCCATGAAAGGGAGGATCTTCCGGGGGAGCTCATGGCCAGTGGGACTTCCAGGTCTGTGTTTGTTTCATGAAGCCACATTCCCCAAAGGAGGATGACAGAGTGTCACAGACACTTCCCCAAAGAGGGCTTGTGTTCCACATCTTTAGTTATCCCCTTCTTTGACCAGCATCCTGTATGTTTGTAACTATGACACTGTCCCTCCTTGCCCAAAGAGGCAAACGCCCCTGGGTTCTCAGGAGCAGTGACTCTATTTTAAGGTGACCAGATGGTCCCGCTTTGGGCGGGACAGTCCAGATTTTCAACAAATTTTCCCACGTCCCTCGGCGTTTTAAAAAAGTCCCGATTTTTGGAAAGATTGGAAAGATTCTTTCCAAAAATTGGGAGTTTTTTAAAACACCAAGAGATGCGGAAAAAACTGTTAGAAATCTGGGACTGTCCTGCCAAAAACGGAATGATCTGGTCACCTTACTCTATTTGTTGCTTTCTGGGCTGGGTGAAGAGTGTCCTTGGAGTTCATGGAGAGCTTGGACAAAGAGGGTACAGGTGTAAGTGGCACTTCGGTCTCCCCACCACCCAAGGTGTTGAGTTTTCTGATCCCTCCCCACCCCAAGCAGAACCAGAGCTACACAGGAGGGACAAAGCCAGCCACTGAGAAGCTAAGTGGCTTTCTCTGGTGCCCCGAGTGCAGCATTAAGAACCAGTGTCGGTAATTTGTCACCTTGAGTTCTGTCCAGCTACTTGGTAATTCATATCAAATCTCAAATGAGTATGTGTGCTGTTTCCTGGAAGGTTTCAAAAAATAGAGGTCAAGAGAAAATGAAAGTATTTCTGGGATTTCTTTGATCAGTTGGCTTATAAAGTTACTTTAAAATAACTCACTTTAGAGTTAGCAGAAATTCCATTCAGAAGGACTCAGGAATAGCAGCATGAATTGACAACTCTTCTTCCAAACTATACATTATTTATGCAGTTGCCAACATCAAAATAGCAGATGACATGCTACACACACACACACACACACACACACACACACACACACACACACACCACACATCCCTTAGAAGCAACAGAGTGATGGCGGCCTCGTTTCAGGTGGCCCCTCCAAGAAGGAGGACTAGGTGTTTGGTGGGGAAGATCTCTCCCTGCTCTAAATGGGGAGGGGACTTTGGTACACACCAGTATGCCAGGCACTGTGCTAGGAGCTTTCCATATAGGCTGACATTTGCTGTCCACCACAATTTGTGAGGTGTGTATTATTATCTCCATCTTCCAGATAAACAAATGAGGACTGAGAGTGGTAGTAATTTACCTACAGCCACTTTGAACCTGAGTCTCCAATTCAAAATCCAGAGCTCTTTTCAATATTGAATTAGAAGAAGCTGATGGCTGTTGTGGTAGCTAATCTTCAAGCTGGCCCCAATGAAACTGCTCTCAGTGTGGACACCCCTGCGTGGGTGCGTCCCACAATCAATGCAGGTTGGCCCTACGTAACCAAATGAATGTGGCAGAAGTGGCTTCCGAAGCTAGGTCATAAGAAGCCTTACAGCTTCTTGATCTCTTAGAATATTTGCTCTGAAAGAAGCCAGCTGCCATGTAAGAAGTCTGACTTCTCTGAGACCACCATGCTGTGAGGAAGCCCAAGCCAGCCACATGAAGAGTCTACCTAGAGAAAGAGAGATGCTCATTTAGCCCTCAGTTGTTCAAACTATTCCAGCTGGAGCACAAAATATGTGAGTAAAGAAACCATTTGGAATGTTTCTACCCAATGGTCTCCTCAGTAACTCCAGGCTCAGCTGCCATCTGGCTGCAGGGCCTGAGGAACCCCAGGCAAGAACTGCCTAGTTGAACTCAGAATCTGGGAAATAATAATATATATTTTTTTATTTTAAATGACTAAGTTTTGGAATGGTTTGTTGCACAGTGATAACTGAAACAGGTTCCAGGACTATTTTATCTATAACAGTTATGATCAATTTTTATTAACTACTTCCTCTATGTCAGGTATGGTATTAAGCATTCTACATTTATTATTCTATTTTATTTCCACAAGAACCCCATGAGACAATGCTCATTGTTATTCATTTTACCAGGATGCAAACCCCAACAATCAATCCTAAACCTCATACAATTACACATTTCTCTGCTCTAGATGGAGGTGACTCAGTCTAATCTCCAGATGGATGGGCTCAGATCTGGAGGGGGTGGTGCATTGCCTTGGAAAGTCTGACTGTGCCCAAAGAGACTGCTCTGGAAGGTCTGGAGCA